TGGGCAGCCGGCAGGAGTCCCCCGTTCCCTGCTCCTCCCCATCATGGCAGATGGCAGCAGGCTCCGGCCTCTGGCGATCGGCGGCGACTCCTCTGCTCCCTTAAGGACGGCAGCCGTCCCTCCACAGCCCAGGCGGCCGGCTGCGAGTTCGTCCGCCCCCCCGGCAACTCACTCCAGCCCACCGCCTCGAGCGTCCACGGCAGCAGACAGCTCCGCCATGCTCGATGACACCGCGGATTCACCACAGACTCCGTTCCCACGGCTCTCGGCCCCGCCCCACTCGTCACATGCCCTTTTTTGTTTCTAAAACTATTTTTCAAGACCTAAACATCAGGTCTGCAAAGGTCATATAAGCTGAGATACATCATAATTTTGATAAGCTTTCCAGTCAAGCTCCAAAATTACTAATAAACATGTCATAAAAGAGGTTAAAAATGACCCATTCACGATATTTCAAGTCTTCTGAAGTCATATGAGACATACGTGAGGAGCAGACCCAAATTTAAGTGTTTTATTCATGAGAAAAATATCTAAAACAAGATAGATTTACTTGTGTAGCATGATAACACTTGCCAGAGAATCTGAAACTTGTCATTTCTCAGTACATTTTCTTGTTCTAGATCTGTTATGTTTTAACATTTAACCAAAATAAACCATTTGATATTAATCTACAAGAAGAGAAAGCACTCAAATAGCAGATGAAAACCCAATCAACACCAAATAATTAATAACATTTTTGCTCATAATGGATCTAAAATTTTTCTCAGTCCATTGGCAATAGAAATTGTGTTTTTCTTGTTCTAGATGTGGTTCATTTTGATATTAACCAAAATAAACCATTTGGTATTAATCTAAAGGAAGAGAAAGCTCTCAAATAGCAAAGAAAAACCCAGTCAGCACCAAATAATTAAGCAATTAGTAAACATTATGCTCACAATGGATCTAAACGTATTTCTCAGTCCATTGGCAAAAAGTCCATTGGCAAAAAAAATAGCCAATTTATTAACCAAAATAAACCATTTGGTATTAATCTAAAGTAAGAGAAAGCTCTCAAAAAGCAAAGAAAAACCCAATCAACACCAAATAATTAAGCAATTAGTAAACATTATGCTCACAATGGATCTAAACGTATTTCTCAGTCCATTGGCAAAAAAATGGCCAATTTATTAACCAAAATAAACCATTTGGTATTAATCTAAAGGAAGAGAAAGCTCTCAAATAGTAGAGAAAAAACCCAATCAAACACTAAATCATTAAGCAATTAGTAAACATTTTGCTGGTAATGGACCTAAACTCTGCCGGTGGGAAAGAGCAGCTCAGACGGATGATAATTAGGGAGAGATAGTTCGGCATTCAGTCGAGTCCTTCACATCCTGATTCATTATGAGAGAAAGAGAGATGGTTATTAGCACTGAAAGAGGGGGAGGGAGGGAGAAATGTCAGCTAGGACAGGAACAGTGAAGGTATGAGGCGAGGTTATGCGGTGCGTTGTTAAAGACGGGGTCAGAGCGGTCATCATTAGAGCCGTGCTCCTCATTAAGAGCTCTCAGCGCCGCACATCTCTCTACAGTATATTCATTAAAACAAAGAGCCGTCCCCGAGGGCCGTTCATTCCTCATCTGCCCTAATGAGCAAGTGTCACCGTGTTAAACGAACAATTCAGCCAAAAATGATGATTCTGGCATCGTTCACTCACCGTTAAACCTGTTTGACTTTATTCGCAAGCAATGAGACTTTTTAAGAGTATCCTGCTCTTTTAAGTATAGTGGGCGTGAAGCATTAAAATGTCTTACAGGTGGTTCAAAATGTCTTATTCACTATATTTTGTGTTCTGAAGTCATATGATAGATTTGTTTGAGGTAGAGACACAAATGTAAGCGTTTTATTCACCGAAAAAATACACACAAAGGGTTCATGAGAAAAGTCATGATCCAAAGATTCATTAAAAAGATCCAACTCAGAACAATGATTCATTGATGATTCAGGTATTAATGAATTCTTTTGAAACAGATATTTAGAATTAGTGTGAATGATTCGTTCACTGATCTGGATTCACTGAAAGTGAAATTATCAGTGAACAAGTTTTTTACATTTTGTTATTTCTACTGGAATATAGTGCATTTATATCTAGTACTATTTTAGCAATTATCAATATTTTGAATTAGCTTTTTTTAGATTTTCGGTTATTTAAATTTTAGTTTGTCATTTTTTTTTTTAAGTTTAAGTTTCTCATTGAATATTTATTTGATTATATAGTTTCGATTTTGAATTAGCATTTATTTTTATATTTTCAGTTTTCATTTTCATGTTAAGTTTTAGTAATTTTTTTTTAATGTTTTTGTAATTTTTATTGTTTTTTTTTCTCCCAGTTTTTGTTTTAGTAATTTTAGCACTTCAACGTTACTTTATTGTATTTCAATTAGTTTATTTCAAGTTTTGTAAGTTTACAATTTGTTTGAATATTTGTATTTTATTTTAGTTCAGCTTTATTAATTTTAATAGTAAAAGTGATAGAGTAATGATAGAGCTCTGTGACAGGAAGTGGGAAGGAAGTTGTCTGCGGAGCGGTTCGGTTTCCATAGTGATGGCGATTAGATCTCGAGCATGTGGAGTCGTTACACCTCCACAGATTCTTTAATAACGAGGTGTTTTGATGTCATCTGTAAGGTGATGTGTAGCTTCTGCCTTTATCTCAAGAGATCCACAGTGCCGTGTTCCTGCGGGATTAAAGCAGTAAAGCACTCGAGGCAAATCTCCAACGCACAGATATATGATAAACAACACTAATGATCAATAAATTATTACATTTCATAAAAGATAATAATCACAATAAACCGTTCCTCTGCCAAGAATAATTAATAGTGTTGTAATTCTGTAGTAGTAGTAGTAGTGTAGTAGTAATAGTAATACTGTAAACATACATATATATTATAAACATATAATAATTATAATTATATAATTAAATAATTATATAATTATAATAAAATAAAAATTAAATAAAATAATTATAATAATTAAAAAAAAATTGTATCTTAATTAAATCTTATAATATTTCTTATATATCTTATAATATGAATTATTATTATTATTTGTCATTAGTATACAATATAATTATTATTCAAGTGTACAGTATTAGTAGTGTACAGTATAACACTTAATTATTATTAACACTATTAATTATTAATTATTCTAATAATAATAATAATATTTATTATTATTATTATTATTATTATTATTATTATTTGTACTGCTATAAGTCTGTCTTTATTCTAAGAAGGTCCACTGTGACCTCTTTTTGTAACACATTATGTAACCTTTAACTAATATATTTTATTTAAGTTGCTTTCTGAGTGAACATGAACATGCCTCTCGAAACAAACTCAAGAGGAATTCGAAACTCATTAAAAATGAGTGCTACTGTTTTTCAGGTGTACATCGCCATCTAGTGTTTCAGTTTCATATGACTCATAGAGTCTGAGGTGGTGTGATATGGCTTCATCTTCTCCCATTCGTCACTATAAATGTCTTTGAAATAGCACACAACATACTATTTTTATGAAGAAAGTGTATACTGTATGCATACTCTATTTCCAGTGTGATGATGAGCTGGATACAGTATCATCCATTTTATTAAGCATCTCTTTCCTGACTTATTTGGATCCGACTGCCAAAAGTTAAGATTTTTAAACAAAAGTGAATGAAATCACTGCATACTACTTGACATGCAGTTTTAGCTGTACAGTATGTACTGCGCAGCACACATCAGTGTGTTTGTGGTGTGTTTTCAGGAGTTGTCAGAGCATGACGAGTCTCTTTAGTAACACGGTGTCTCCGGTGAAGGAGGGCTCCTCGTCTCTGTCGTGCCGCGCCAGTGCGCTCAGCAAACCCCCGTTACGAGCCCTTTACGACCTGCTCATCGCCCCGATGGAGGGGGTACGACTGCACTCACACTTCACTAATGTTCAATAAATAATTACATTGATTAGTAATAATACTCACAGTAAATAAGTTGTCCACTAAGTAATAATTCATTAATTGGTTTGTAGCAACTTTTTTATATTTTTAT